TTCCCTCTCTCTCTCACTCACTCTATCCCTAATTATTTGTTTGAAAAAAGAAAGAACGAACTACCTATTTCTCCCTGCCTCCCAAACCCCAGTAACCTCCATTATACTTTTCAGTCTCTACAGTTCACCTAGTCTGGACTCCTTATATAACTAGAATCATGCGACACATAATCTTCTATGTGTGGCTTATTTCATTTACCAGGTTTTCAGGGTTCGTCCATGTTGTGGCATGAATCAGAATTCATTCCTTTTTATGGCTAAATAATACGCCTATATATATTCCACAATTTGCTTATCCATTTATCTTCCAGTTAATATTTGGACTGCTTTTTTATTTTATTAACATAAATATTGCAGTGAATTTTCTTTTAATTCTTCCTGTTAATATGCATTAGAGAAGCAGAATTTATAGATATTGCCAGATGTCTTCCCAAAGTGCTTATACTAATTTACAGTCATAGATGTAATGAATTTTTGCCTGTCTACATAAACACATATAAACATTGTAACAAAAATGGGATTGCATTTTGTATCATGCTTTGGACTAACTTAACCATACAGTCATTCTTCACTTAACTATGAGGATCTGTTCTGAGAAATAAATCATTACACGATTTGGTCATGCAGACATCAGAGTGTACTTACACAGACCTAAATGTTGTAGCCTACTACACATTTAGGCTGTAGGATATAGTCTTATCTATTTATAAGATTATAAATAATTATAATTGAGAAGAGCATCACCATCATTGATCAGAACATCATTATATGGTATGATTATATTTTGTGAATGTTTTCCATCCAAGAAATAATACTCTACCATGTAATTTTAATGACTGACTGGTATTGCATAATATATATATTATGGCCCCCTCCTAAAGATGAATAATCACTCATTTCTTTGTGGATTTATAGTATTATATACTACATATAGTACAGTATATATATACTTTATATACTATATAGTATTATATTTTAACTCTATTCTATTATTAAATTGTGAGGTCCTAAGATAAGATCCAAATTGCTTTCTTTGTCTTTGCTTTGTTATTAAGAACAGGGAATATATAATAGCTCATAAATATAATGGGTATGAAATAAGTATTTGCTGCATGAATAACTTAGAATATGAGAATACTGGGAACCAGCAGTTGGCATAATGGCTATGTCGCTGGACTCCCACGTAGTCGACCGCGGTTCGCGTCCCGGACCCAGTGGCTTAAAACTCACGCTGGGTGCATGTGCGTGTGTGCCCAGGTTCCCGAGAGGAGAATGGAGGAGAAGGGACTGCGGCGTGACCATCCCCCCTGGGGGGTGATTTCTCACTTTCTGTCTCTATGTCTCTGTCTGGCTGGCGAGCGCACGCGCCCTATAGTGAAAACCTCTCCAAAAAAAAAAAAAAGAATATGAGAATACTAGCAAAGTACTGTTACAACTTTAAGTTCTTTTTTATTATTTCCTCTGATGGTAGCTTGGTGAAGAATATTGTAGCATAAGTGATTATTGAGAAAAGGCATCTTACCCATCAGGAAAGCAAAAGAACTCTTAAGAAATTTTAATATTAACTTTTTTTTTGCTATAAGCAATTAAAATTAGGATACATAGGTATTAGGATCTGATCAAGGAGAAGCAAGAAACTAATGACTATAAAATTTTGGAATGCCTCTAATTTTCTCACCAATGATCTCACTGAGCAACTAGCATCACATACAAAAGGAAAAAAAAAAAAAAAAAAAACATGAAAATCATCTCCAGCAAAATTAAGGAAAGAGACCTAATACAGTAAGTCTTAAAATGTGACCAAGTGGGGGAACCAGCAGTTAGCGTAATGGCTATGTCGCTGGACTCCCACGTAGTCGACCGCGGTTTGCGTCCTGGACCCGGTGGCTTAGAACTCACGCCAGGCGCGTGTACATGCGTGCCCAAGATCCTGAGAGGAGAATAGAAGAGAAGGGATTGCGGCATGACCATCTCCCCTGGGGGGTGATTTCTCGCTTTCTGTCTCTATATCTCTCTGTCTGTCTGGCAAGTGCACACGCCCTATAGTGAAAAAAAACTCTCCAAAAAAAAAAAAAAAAATGTGACTAAGTGGGACCAAAACATGACTAGCATCAAGTTCCCCATGGATTTCAGTGGTATAAAAAAATGTGAAAGAAAGTTAAAAGTCAGAGAATTACACAAATGCTTACTCTTGAAAGAGGGCTTTCCATTCTGAGTAAAAGGCTCTCTGTGTGCACATCTAACAGAAAATACCGGGGGAAGATAGAAGTATTGCAGAAATGCTGGAACTTGCTAGGGTGGCCTGAATCTCCAGGCATTTTAGAAGTCCACTGCAGAAGTCCCTTCAAGGAAGAGCTGCTCATTTAGGAAAAGCTCCTTGGAGTAAGACTAAACTGAGCATCATAGCAGTTGGCAGAGGGGCTCTAAAGAAAGACCATATTTGTTCATACCCCACAGGAACAAGAACAGAAGAGGGAGTCCTACAGCAGTAAAGCTGGAGAAGCTGTCATGCCCCAACTCCAGCGTCTACGTGAAAAACTTCTCTTAAAATATAGAGAAACCCATTTTTTTTTAAGAATTATTTTTTAAATTCTTAAAATTCTACAGGGCACATGCTTTCACCAGAAAGAGAAAGAGAAGGAAAGTGAGAAAGCAAGCCACCAGTCTAGGACTTGAACTGCAGGCAGCCATGTGGAAGTCCAGCACCTTAACTACCACAACCACCTGCTTACCTCTGATAAAACCCATAACAGGGGTCAGCAGGTGGCATGGTGGTTGGGGCGTTGGACTCCCACACAGCTGACTGCAGTTTGAGTCCCAGACCTAGTGGCTTGAGGCGCATGCCAGGTGCATGTGCTTGTATACCAGGGTCCCAAGAGGAGAATGGAGGAGATGGGATTGTGGCATGACCATCCCCCCTGCCCGGGGCTGATTTTTCAATTTCCCTCTCTATTGCTTTTTCTCTCTCCGGTGAGCACATGCACCCTATGGCAAAACTTAAAAAAAAAAAAAAAAAAAACTCAGTTATATGTGGCTCAATTCCAGCCCCAGCTGCATGAACAAGTGTATCATGCCATAAATTCTGATAGGCTAGGGAAGTGGAGAGGAAGGGGTCACAGTGTGTCCACACCCATGGAGGGTGCTTTCTCCCTTTTTCTCTCTTTCTTTTCTTTTCTTTTTTTCTTTTTTCCTCTCTCTCCTTCCCAACCTCCCTCCCTCTTCCCCTCCCCTTCTTTATCTCTCTGGTGAGCACACGTGCCCTTTGGCAATTAAAAAAAAAAAGGTTGCACCTTAGATGCAATATTCTTTGCAGTGTTACTTGTAATAGAAAAAAATTAACAGGAAGGAGATTGGGGGAAGGGCTTAAACTTGTAACACTGAATGCTTCAATTAGGACACATGCTAAATAGATACCTCATGTTATTCGCATGAAGACTATATAGAAAAATTAATTTACATTATAATTACAATGATATAAAAATGATGAGAAAATAAAATGAATGTAGTTTTATGACTTTTACCATGAATAATATATTGCTTTTAGCTGGATATTTCTTGATATTTCAGTGTTTTTGCAACCATTTTAGAAAGATAAAATGACCCTGATTTTAGTGGTGATGAACTCTTTCTGGGTAAAATACGTGCATACATTCAGATAACTGAGCAAAAATGCCTTGTGAACAAGATTTCTGTGGACTATTGGAAGAATAAATATTGTGAACAAAAGCACAAAGGTAATATTTTACGTAGATTAGATTTTTTTGGAGAAAATAATTCCAGAGATGGAAGCAACACAGGTTTAATTCGGCCTGGATTATAGGAGTACCTGGACTTCTAAACTGAAGAATTGAGGTTTTGTTAGAGCTTGAATGGTTGACTGCCTTTACGAAAGCTAGCGTGGAGATGTTGCAGGGTGATGGGCAGGGGACAGCCACAGTCGGAAGTATGGCTTCCCAGGCTCGCTGAGCAAGAACCCGACGGGGAGGGTGAGCAGCAGGGCAGTCGGGGAAAAGGAAGGAGAGAAGGGCGTCTCCACACCTGAAAGGGTCAAAAGGTTTGTGTCCGTCAGCGGAGTTTTTCCCCCTCAGTACACTTCAGCTCTCACCCGTGCGTTGCATCTTGTGTCTGTTGACAAAATCGTTTTCAGGTTGGCCTGGAACACGGTGGTTAAGCGCTGTGTGTAGGAGCCGTGCGATGACCAACAATGATTGTAATTCCAGTGCATGCGTGTGCATGTGCCTGCCCAAATCCTGGTAAAATGGAGAACAAGAGAAGGGGTTGCAGCGTGACCACACCCCCAGTGGAGGGGGGCTTTCTCCCTCCCCTTCTTTCTCTCTCTTTCTCTCCGGCAAGTACGTGTGTCCTGGGACAATCACAACGATAAAGAAAGACTCCCCACAGTACTAACTCTGGACCCTCCTCCCTAGGGTTATGACAATTCCGAGAGCAGTGTTCGGAAAGCTTGCGTCTTCTGCCTCGTGGCTGTCCATGCGGTCATCGGGGATGAACTGAAGCCACATCTCAGTCAGCTCACTGGCAGTAAGGTAAGTTGTGCTGCCTTGCTTTCAAGGCAGTGGCCAGGGCCAGCTGGTGGCAGGGTGGTTACGACGTCTGCGTCCCCCATAGCTGGCTGTGTAGTTCAAGTACCAGACATAGCAGCTTGAAAAACGTGCCGAGAATCCCCAAAGGAGGGAGAAAGGGAAAAGGGATGAGGGACGGTGACGTTACCAGCCCCCACGTGGGGTGCTTCCTCACTCTTTTTTTGGCAAGCACACAGGCCTTCTACAAATTATAAAAATCAAAAAGATAAAGATAGTGGCCAAGCATTTTTCAAAATTTACTTATACAGTTGTTTTAAAGGACAGGTTTATTACTCAGTTTGTAGTAAGTCATTCTTTGAGCATCTGACTCATCTTCATTCCTTCTGGTTTTTATTTTAGTTTCTACTCTAAATATTTGTCAGTCAGGTGAAGTCATCTGTTTGGTAGGTTAGTTGGTAGATTTACTGGAGAGAAAAATGCTTTCAGCTTCTGGAAATTTGCAATAACCAACTGACTACTTTCCTACTCTGACACCCAAATCTTTACCCCTAAGAACTGTTTAATTAAGAATTAATAGATTGTTGTGGTTATACATTCATCTCCCAAGATATGAAACACTTTAACTTTTTTCTAAGTTTTCTCTATAAGAATTATGATAGCCAGGGCCAGCAGGTGGTATGGAAGTTAAGGCATCCGGATCCCATATGGCTGACTTCTGTAGTTCGAGTCCCAGACTTGGTGGCTTGAAAAATATACTGCCAGGTGCATGAGCATGCACGTGCATGCCTAAAATCCCAAGAGGAGAATTGAGAAAGGACTGTGGTGTGGTCATACCCTCAGGGGATGATCTCTCGCTTACTTTGTCTGTCTCTCTCTGTATGTCTCTCCCTGGCGAGCACATGTTCCCTCTTGCCAAAAAATAAAATAAAAATAAAGAATGATGATAATAAAATATTTATTCTTTCTATTCTTGTTATGGTACAGATTAATGTGCGATTTTGACTTGGCATGTTAAAGTAAAATTTTCTGATTAGTCTTCAAAAGTCTCTTGATTGGGATCAGCATTTGGCATGATGGCTACGTCACTGGACTCCCATGTAGTCAACCACAGTTCAAGTCCCAGACCTAGTGGCTTAAACTCATGCCAGGCATGTGTGTGTGCGTGCCCAAGATCCCTAGAGGAGAATGGAGGAGAAGGGATTGTGGCGTGGCTATCCCCCCAGGGGAGTGATTTCTTGCTTTCTGTCTCTGTCTTTCTGGCAAGCACACGCACCCTATAGCACAAACCTCTCCAAACAAATAAGTGATAGATAAATAAATAATATAAATTAAAAATATAATGAATAAATTAAAAGTCTTGATCTATCCCCATAGCCTAGTGATTAAGGGGGATGGGTCCCACATGGCTAACTATGGCTTGAGTCTGGCCTTGGCAGCTTGAAAACCATGCCAGGCACATGTGTGTGTGGGCCTAAAGTCCTGAGAGACTGGAAAGGTAGAGGAGAAGGTTTTACAATATGACGATTCCCCTGGAGGGTGCTCGCTAGCTCGCTCTTTTTCTCTCTTTCTCTCTCTCTCTCTCTCTCTCGTGCATGCACTCTGGTAGTTAAAAAAAATAAAATAAAAATAAGGCCAACCCATGGCATGAAGCTTTCCTTCTTTCCTTCTTTATTTGACCAGAGAGAGAGAGAGAGTGAGAAAGCAAGCTACCAGGTCCAGGAATTAAACCTTGGTTGGTCATGTGGGAGTCCAACGCCCCCAACCACCATACCACCAGCTGGCCCCATAAATACGATTTTAAAAATTTCTGGGACCAGCAGACCAACTTGGTGGTATGGTAGTTAAGGTGGCTGGGTCCTACCTGGCCAACTGCAGGAGCCTCAGACCCAGCACCTTGAAAAGCATGCCATGCACAATACGTGCATGTCCAAAATCCTTAAAGGAGGAAAAATTGGAGGAGAAGGGATTGCAGTGTAGCCATTCCCCATGGGGGGCGAGTCTCACTTTCCCTCTTTCTCTCTCTCTCCATCAAGCACACATGCCCTATGGGAAATTTAAAAAAAAAAAAAGTTTAAAAAAAAGTGCAGTTAATATTCATTTAATACTAGGCAGCCAGTATTAATGTTACTGGCATTATATAATAATGTTACATATGAAGACAGATCAGTGGGAAAACATTTTGAAATATTGGGTCATTAGAAAACTCATGACACATTTTTGCCTAGAAAAGCACATCATGACTTTTCCAATGACCCAGTAACATTAAGTGAAAAAGTAGGGCACAGAATTGTTTGAAGGTACTTCAAAAAGTTTGTGTAAAAATGAAATTAAAGTATGAGTTTATTTTTGTGTAAAACATTTTTTGAAATCCATGTGCAATATTTTCATGATACACATTTTCTCCTTTTTTAATTGTTAATGAGTGCGCTCACGGGGGGGGGGGGCAGT